GAGCAGCTCAGCCTTTTGAGGCGGGTCTTTGTGAACAGTATTTCCTGTGTGAGTGAGAGAAGCATTTACTAGCATTAAGTAGAGTTCTGGAGAACGGGTGGGGCTGGGAACCTTCTGCGGGTACCTGCAGCCATGTACATGCTCACATTTTGTGAGCCTCACCGTCACTGCTGTTTTCCAGGTGCTGTCTTTTCTTGGTTAAATCAAAGAACTTTTTCTAAGTTCTGGTGGTGTTCGGGGCTGGTGTTCCTGGGGCTCTTGAGCTCCTTGCTCTGGCCCTTTTCAAGCCCCTGAAAGAGCCCTGGGGGCTGCCCTGCTGACCTGGGAAGACCTTGGGGGCTTTGTGTGACTTGTCCTCCCATGAGGCCCAGAGGAATTTTGTTCTTGGGCACCCAAGGCAGAGGGCCTGGGGTGGGTACTTGTGAATGTTGCAAAGGGCAGGTGATTAGCAATCTCTCTCTCGGTGATCTGCTGGTTTCCAGTGAAAAATCCTCCTGTACTTACCCTGATTAACAAGAGCAGATTTCATCCTGTCAGCCTTGGGCTTCTGTTTGTGTTCACACTGCTCAGGGCTGGGGCTGTTGTCATTTTTTTTCTTTGCACTCTTTTGGTAACTCACAGGTCTGAGTTGGGCCCGGCTGAAAATCCTGTAGATTTTCAGCATCTTAAAGATTGGGGTACTCCTTTTCCTTTGTCTTTTTCTATTTCATTCTTTCATTCACTCAGAAAAAAAAGTCTTTTCTGATTATCGGGTGTGTTGGGGCCTAAGGCAGATAATCACCTAAGTTAAAGTTGCCCTCAAGCCCATCTCTGCCTTACCTTCGGCGTCTCAGCAGAAAAACAGTAACTGCCCGGGCCTAACTGTTCTCTCCCTGCCCTCCGTCACCAGGGTGAGCTTATCGGCCACAGACTGTTACATCGTGCACGAGATCTACAATGGGGAGAACGCCCAGGACCAGTTTGAATATGAGCTGGAGCAGGCCCTGGAAGCCCAGTACAAGTACATCGTCATCGAGCCCACCCGCATCGGCGACGAAACTGCCCGCTGGATCACCGTGGGCAATTGCCTGCACAAGACCACCGTGCTGGCAGGCACCGCCTGCCTCTTCACCCCATTGGCACTGCCCTTAGATTATTCCCACTACATCTCCCTGCCTGCTGGCGTGCTGAGCCTGGCCTGCTGCACCCTCTATGGCATCTCCTGGCAGTTCGACCCTTGCTGCAAGTATCAGGTGGAGTACGACGCCTATAAACTGTCCCGCCTGCCCCTGCACACACTCACTTCCTCCACCCCAGTGGTGCTGGTCCGGAAGGACGACTTGCACAGAAAGAGACTGCACAACACGATAGCACTGGCCGCCCTGGTGTACTGTGTAAAGAAGATTTACGAACTCTACTCCGTATGATTTCAGTAGAACAGGGAGAGAAGCAAACAACCCAGCCATGAGAGACAACAGAGTATTCAGATTGCCACAGTAACATTTTTCTCCGTGAGTCAGCGGAGCCTGGGAAGGTGTTTGGTTTAATACTTGTTATTTTAAAAAAATAACACAGATCACAAGTGTACCGAGGGTTTTTTTCAACTCATTACACTAAGATGTGGGTTTCTGTAACCCACGGGGGTCTGAGGCTGTGGAAGTCTGACTGGGCAGTGGAACCTGGACGGAAGCAGCGCTACTGAGGGGGTGTGGACGTGCTTGGGAGGGGGGTCTTTAAATATATTGTTTAACTGTACCATTCAGAGCCAACCAGAAGCTGTTGACCATTAAAATTATGAGAATTTCAACTCCAGGTGTCGTCTTGTTCCATGACTGCCTGCAGCTGCTGCCGCAGAGTCTGCCCTGGCTGGCAGCATGCACAGGGAAGCCTGGCACCGTGGGAGTCACCATGCACAGCGAGAACAGGCCTTTGGATGGCACGCGTGGCCCTGGGGTCAGACTAGAGCAGTCTCGTTTCTCACCTGGGCCTTGTTTCCAAGGCCAGCACTGCTCAGTGTTGCTTGAGGGACTTGGTGGGGTAAGGTGACGAGGATTTTAGGTCCCTGGGTTTCCACACGTGGAGGACTCTTGGGACCTGGGATCTCCTCTCCAGAGAGTCCAATTTAGGACACAAACTTTTTTCTTGAGCACCGAAACTGTCTGATGGGCCCAGATTTCTTTTCTTTTTTTTATTTAATTCATCCATTTATGCATATAAGAGCTGCAGCAAAGGCCAGAGGCTGGGAGATGAGAGGACCCACCAGAGACAGAGGTGGGAACAGAGCAGGCAGAGCGATGGAAATAAACGGCTGCGGCGAGGCAGGAGAGGTCTGCTGCACCATGTGGGTTGTTCCATGGCCAGCTGGGGTATCGAACTCGTGCTGCGGAGCCTACGGACAATCTCATAGGTTGTGTCCCAACCCCCTGCGCCTCCAGGAAGGCCCAGGCCCTGTTTTCAACCTATTGCTATAGGCCAAGGGAAGCGCCCTCATAGCCCCCTCTGATCTCTCCAGAGTCTGCCCTTCCCTAACTGCAGTCTTCTAGACCCTTGCGCTCAGTCATCCCTGGAGAGCTATACAGACTTCTGATTGGCCCTCTGAAGAGGTACCCAGACTGATTTCTCATCTAATTAGAGCCTCCATTGGGGAAATCTGGTACTGGAGAGTAATGAAGGGGTGCAGAGAAAGGCATTCGGGGGTGACTAAGCCATTTTTTATAGGGAGATGATCCAGAGCTTTTAAAAAATTTCAGAAAGGACCTGTGGTCCACAAGGAGTTTGAGAAACTTTAATTCCAAGGGCCCTAGAGGGACTACTAATGACTGATTTGAGTGCAGGGTGGCCAAGTGGTGCTGGGTGCACGCTACTGTTTGTTTACACGGCAGCCCGGCCATCTGGAACAGGGGTAAGTTGGTAGTGATCCCAGACAAACAAACCTCCCTTCTGCTGCCATGCCCACAACCCCATCAGGCTGTTGAGCCCGTGGGGTGAGATTGATAGGTGTTTTTATACCATCCAGGATTTGTAAAGGGTGCCTCAAGCTCTACTTGCTTGCAAATCAGGTTTCATGGGGAGGTGACTGGAAACAGACAAGCAGTGGCCCTCTCAGATCAGCTGAGAATCCCTCACCCGAAATAGAAGCCAGGTGCCTTCAGCTGTCCAGAGCAAAATGCTTCTTGTTGGGTGGACTAGCCTTGATCCTGAAATGCCATCTTGGTTACATGTCCCAAGGACAGGACTGATGTGGCTGTGGGCCGCAGGGTAGGGCTTCTGGATTCCAGATCTCTATGTGAGCACCGCCCAAGTGAGCCAGAGAGCAGTAGCCACACCTCCATGTCTGGAGGGCCTCCCTTCTGTTGGACTAGTTTATTTCTGCCACCTTCCCACTTAGCATTGCATAAGTGGGTTCTGTTCATCTGTGGCGTGCCACGGCGTCCTTAAAGAAGCAGCATTAAGTAACTGCCAACTGAGAAAGCAAAGGCCAAGTTAGCTGGACTCACCTCTGCAAAATCTACATGAGCCCTGTGTGTGCCATTTCAGGGAGTGGATCATGCCGTTAACCACCTATTACTACCCCAATTTCAGTGGAGAACAAAAAGCCTTTTTGTTAAAGATGTAGAGGAGCAGACCCTGGCCAACATGCGCTGCCCTTGTTATGGTCTGTCAGTTCCCTCCAGAGTGTTCACATCTGGTGCAGCAGCTTTGAGTCTCTGACAAGGGGGATTAGGGAGCTCAGAGCATAGTCTGGGAGCAGCAGTGCCCAGAGGCTGTACATTCACTCTTCAGCTTCTCGCGAGGCGCAGCGCCACTCTGCACAGATGAGCAGTGCTGCTGTCTGGAGAAACCTAGTGGGTCTTACTTTGCAGTCTCAGATTCTGGCATAAAGCAAAAGAGCCTGTTCCTGCCCTAAAACTAGGAAAAGACTCGAGGCTTGAAGAGCAGTGTGGAAAATGTGTTTGAACTTTATCTGAAGGCAAAGCCAATTCTGTTCATGCATTTTGAGCCTCCCCAGCAGATTTCAAGGGTGACAGGAGAAAACAACACCTTTTGAGGACAGAAAAGGGAAAGTGGAGCAACAGCAGCAACACCAGCCCTGGGGGCAAGGGTTCATAGCATGAGCCTGCTGTGGGAAAACCAGGCTAGGAAAGTGCAGTGGTCTCTGTTCAACCACCAGCCGGCAGGCTCCACCAGCTCCTCCTTGAGCCAAACCACTGTTCTCAGGATCACCTCAGGCACAACAAGGACATTAGAGAACATTGAATTGCAGCCCCTCATTTGCCTTCCTAGCCTCCAAGGCCACAAAGAGCAAGTGTCAGCAGTGTGAGTGCATCACTAACACCTCTGACTGTCCGCTTCACGATTCGTGTACCAGCCCACACCAGCATGAGGGATTGTGTGTCACAGCCACTGTCACAGTGGCTTCTAAACCCGCTACCTCAATGACATAGGTGATGCCATCTTTTGATGACAGGATGTGGCTGCTATGTTGAATCCCTCAGGATAGTGTTATCAGCAGGCCAGTTGCTGACCATTTAAGGTAACAGGAAGGCAAGGGCTGCACCTAGGTGTGGCCCCCACTGAAAGGGCTAATCAACAGGGCGCTGAGGCAAGATGTTCTCTCGCTCCCAGCTTCCTCTATTGCTGCCATGTACTGAGGACCTGCTGCACACTTGGCAATCTAATTTGACTTCGGACTTGGGCGAGGCTCTCGAGTGGCTGCCCCGCTGTCTTGGCTCTAGCTCGTCCCCAGCTCTAACATGAACACCAAGATCGTTCTTTTCATGCCAGGGAGGTAGATGTTTATATGGAAAGTAAAGCGCCACCTGTTATGTCTGAATCCACCTGTCAGCCACTGGTATGGTTGAGTGTTTGGAGCTGGGAGGTCTCTAGGTGTAACCATCCACTTGTCCTATTCCCAGGACACTCAACAGCCTCAAACACCCTGAACATGGGCTGGCTATGGCCATTTTTAACTCCAGGGTGGTGTTTCAAATACAAGCACCATAACGCAAAGTCAGGATATAGTGTAAGATGACAATATGATGTTAGGTTTTTATTCCAACCTGGATAAGCCTGTACAATGGCCCCACAGTTTCCACTGTCAATTTCAATGATGGTTAAGTTTTGTCCTAAACTTCAAATAGGAAGTTAACTCAATGAACCACAACCATGTATTTTAAATAAACCAGAAAGATGGAAGCAGGTATTTCTGGCTATGCTTCAAAGTCACAGCTAATAAACAGACTGGTTCCACCAGGGGAGCAGGTACTGCTTTAGAGTCCCTCCCCACCTGTGTTGAGTGTTTTCTAGATACATGGGATCATGTGAGTCTGCAACCTGCCTTTGGGCTGCCATCTACTTAGTAAGTTCATCTGCTTGAGGCGATGCCTGGTTCTACAGGGTAAGAATCACCAGGGAGCCCGGGGACTCCTTTCAGATGGTGAAGCTGGGGTCAGTTGGGCTGCCAAATGATTGATCACAGTCCATTTGTGGTACTGAATGAGATACTGCTGGAGCCTAGAGATAGACTCCACCCACGTAAGTGGTCTTGGATAAGCCAGATATGAGAAGAGGGGCCCGTTGATGTCCGGATGGCTTCTGATAACAAGACTGAAACACTTTCTAGATGGAAGCTATAGTTCAAAGGAGGTATTTCTGGAGGATTACGGACTTACTGTTACATTCATTTATTTCATTTTGAAATAAAACCCAGCTCCACAGTTACTCCTTCACCCTCACCCATGGGAAGAAGCTGGTGGTCTTTTTGGTCCCATTCTCTTCTTTTGGGGGCCATACCAGAGGTCTGCAGAAGTGTATCTTTTTATCTTTCCCACCCGCGACAACTATCCAGTCAAGCCTCAGAGCAGCAGTGTCAGCAGGTGCTGCTCCCCTACCCGGCTGGGCACTAGGAGTTCTTGGATTTCTGCTCCTTTCTGGCCCGAGAGGCCATGAGGCTGAAGAAGATCTCAGGAGCCAGAGTTCGAAGATAAATGGCCAAGCAAGGAACCAGATCAGCCAGGATCACGTCTTTCTGTTTCTTCCCCACAGCGGTGAGAACATCTTGAGCTACCTCTTCAGCGCTACGGCCCTGGGCCGTGGTCTTGTCCATAACTAAAATAAACAAAAGAAACACGTGAATGTGGAAGCAGAATTCCCTCTCTCTTGAGGACTTAAGCTGCTGTAGGCTGCTGGGTAGGCTTGTTGGGGTTTCCCCATGAAGCCTAACAGGAGGCAGGTAGTGTGCCGCCATCCCTGACTGCTGTACTCTAAGGCAACAAGGGATCAGCTGCAGGCCTGTGAGTGGAAAGGGATATAGGAAATGTAGGTAGGACAGGGCAACAAGGGAGAGTGGACCCGTTTCAGTGCTCAGAACCCACGTCAGTCCATCTGCATGGTGGTCTATGACAAAGGCAGAGGCCAGTTCAGATGAGTCTCCGAGAGTGAGCCCCTCACCATACCTGAGGAGGTCCTTCCTGCCTGTTGAAATAAGTGGTGACTAAGGATGCTGACCAATCAGCCTACTTTGTCTGAAGTAGCTAGGCTTCAGGGTTGCCAGCTAGGGGACATAAGACTGTAACCTCATATGCACTAGGAACTCAATGAGGTGAAAGTGAAGAGGTGAAAGAAATAGATGTCACAGTTCCCAGCAGCTCCGATTCACTGAATAGGAATAGAAAGAAATCCTTGGTTTGTTTTAGCATTAAAGGAGACAGCTGTGGGGAGTTTAGGAGGCATTAGATTGGTTAACAACAACTGATGTTCCTTCTTTCCTAATCTGACAAGTCTGCTGACAACAGGACCAGCTGACAAGCACAGAACGGAAATCACAAACCCAGACCACTTGAAACCATTCGTAAACTATCCAAACTGCCTGAGCTTCCTCACCAGTACCTGTTCTGGCGTTTTTGTTAAAAAAATATGTGGTTCCTGTCACTTATTTTTAAATGCCACAGAGGGAATAAAAGAGGTTTCGTCTAGGTAAAAATAGGGGTGGGGCCCTCTGGCCCTGTGCCTCTGCATGGTTTCTGTTGACTTGCTGAGTGACAGAGCAGCTGCCACACAAGGCATAGGCAGTCTAACTCAGGTTTAGCTGGGGTGGGTGCAGGGCCAGGAGGCTCCTGGTAGACGCCACAGCACAGCCCCAGAGATCATATCTGGGAGGCATAAGTGACAGGGTAAATGCTCCACCGTGGACAAACCCCATCAGAGTGTGGGGAAGCAAAGTCATTTCCTCGGTGCCTATACACGTAGGTCAAGTGACCCAAAAGGCAGAGCCCACCTTGTCTGCATGACTGGGGCCCATATGCTGGGACCAAGCCTTCAGCCCAAGTAAGGGCTGCAGGTCAACTCAGGACCATCTGAAGCCCGTTGGCAATTCTGAGACTGGTGTCCCCAACCACATTCCCAATGACTGGGCTGTTTGCTTTGATGACCCTGGAATCAGTCATTTCTCAAGCATACTGGATGAGGAACTGTAGGATAGGTAAAATGTATCAGGCTTTTCTGCCCTCCCACCATTAGGACAGATGAGGGAACCCTGTGGTCCTGAATGCATGCCTGATGGCGGGCACCTGAAGTGGGTACACCTGGGCTGAAAGACTGGGCTTTTAAGGGCGGCGTCATGGGGACGCCAGCAGAAGCCAAGAAGAAGCCAAGAACGAACGGAAGCCGAGAAAAGAAGAAGAGACCCCCAGAGAATGCCAGAGAGCCCAATAGAGTGAGGATTTGCTGGTGACTGGGAGGCCTGCCAGCCTCCCGGCCCCCCAACACCCTTGCCTGCCGTGTACCTGGTAAATCCCAGTAAAAGCCTGCAAAAGCCACTGAGGACTCTAGAACTCTCCTCCTTTACCCCATCTGCTGGATCATAGAAAACCTGCACTGTGTCCTGTCCAGTCTCTACAGGAACCTCTTGGTTTAAGTAACCCATCTTTGCATGAGGTTAATTGACCGAGACTGGGTAGCTGGAGTCTGGCAGCATTTCAGCTTGGGAACTTCCTTTCCTGCCTCATAGAGAATCTGTTCTGAGAGCTACAGTGGTGATGCTTGGGCTAAGGATGGTTCATGGTCAATGAAGACTAATCAATGTTCTAGAAATCTCTTAACACCCATGTTAAGTTTTTGGTTTTAAGAACTATATTCCAAATCAAAAGGATCAAAGAATCATACAAGCAAGAGCAGCACGTCTCACCGGCTGTCCCACAGCTTCCCACAGAAGAGAACCGCAGTCTTACCTCCATATTTGGACCCGTCAGCAGTGATGGCATTTAGAGAGAGGTTGGTGCGGATATAGCCAGGACTGATCACAGTCACCTCAATTTCATACTGTTTCATCTCAGCACGAAGACAGTCAAAGAATGCCTGGGCTGCATGTTTGGAGGCTGAGTCTGCAAAGGTAGGTGGCCAGAGGCAGGTGAGTGAGCTGGGACATGGCCTGGCGCAAGCCCACACATTCATTCCCATTCACTCTCTTTTGTTTAAAAATCTGATTTTGTAATTTAAGATTACAGTATTAAAGCAATGTTCACTTCCTATTTATTTATTTATTTATTTTTAATATGTAGTTCACTTCCTATTTAGAGAAGGGCAGTGTGTCACTGTTCTTAGGAAACACTGAAGTATCTAGGAAGAAAGAAGCATCATGCTCTCAACTTTCTTTCAAATGGTTCAGGGGAAAAATTATACATTTATAATGTACCTATATGTGCATTTATACACACAGACACAGAACATGCTAAAGCAAATGTAAAACATGATCAATTGGGGAATCTCTGTGAAGAAGGACACATGGGCGTTCTCTGTACTACTCCTGCAACCCTTCTTTAAATCTGAAATTATTCCAACTTAAAAGAACAAAAACAAGCACACAATACTTAGTGAGTAAAACAATGACTACAGAAGGATATAAAGTGAAAGTCCTCCTCCCCCTTTCCATTGCCATCCCCAGAGGTGACCAATACCAACAGCCTCCAGGATTTGTTTTCACATATCCATATATATATATATATGATCTTACACATAATTAACTTGCATAGAAATGAGCTCAGAAATACTGTTCATACTATTCCCACCAGTAGCTTTCATCACCTAGTGAGACTGGACCACCTCTATGCTGCCTGCAGACCCACCATATTCTTCCTCCATGGGTCACCAGAGTTAGAGAAGTGGCCCCATCAGTGGACCTTCAGAGTTGTCCAGTTCTTGGCCTTGCAGAGTATGTTCTCCAGCACTCATGGGAACGTGTGTATAAAATTGGCTCCTGGTTTTCTTAGGAATTTCATTTCCCTTTCCAAGGTGGCTTTTCACCTGGAAGAGCTATGGAGCTTGAAACAGAGCTGCCTCTGCTCTGCACCAATGGTGCCACACAATGGTGCAGTTCGCTTTAATTCCCGAGAATGGCTAAGTCTCAGGGAAGCACAGTGGCCCTACAGGGACATTCGTGGGAAACACATGGTCTCTCCACTGAAACCCAGTTTCCTCCAATTCAGAATTCTAAATGTTTTAGCCCTGGGGGGAAAAAGGGCATCCATCAGTCAAAAAAGCAGGAAGGGGAAAAGCTAGGAAGTGAAAAGGCTAAGAAATATCACCAGCAAGTCACATGACGCAACTCCAGTGTCTGACGTGCTGAGTGCCTTTCTGGGCCAGCTGCCCTGATTTGAGAAGGTTGAATGAATAAGACTCTAGGTAGCTGGGTACGGAGATCTGCTCCTATCAATGGTGATTCTGGGGTGCAGCCCAGAAGCAACAACTGAGAAGAGTGAGTCATGCTGGGAGTCCCCAGAATAGAAGGTTGCACTCTGACAATGTATCTCCTAAGGCTACAGGGTTGTGGTCCTCCACCAGGCTATGCCACTACTAACAGCACTTGGCCCTTCTCTCACCACCTGAGCATGTTGCTCCCTCATGATGGCCAGCAAGGGAGAGAAAGCTGCCCTCCTATTTTACAGATAAGAAGGTCGCTGCTTGTCAGAGTTAACTGCCAGGCCCAGGAGGCACGGCCACACTCACCCTGGTTGTTATAAAGTGTCCAGACCAAGGGTGTGTGACCAGCTACAGTCACAGGCAAAGTGAAAACAAAAACCAGTGAGATTAAATCAAAGTAAAACTTGGAAATAATTTAGTACAAAGAATATTTCACTTACTTTTACCTTTATCCTGATTATCTATTATAACATTTCACCTCATTTTCTTTATCACCCGTGATTACATAATTACATATATATTATATATAATTACATATCTATATATCTATTAGCTATATAAAATACACACACACACACATTCCTGAGCCATTCAAGCAGTCTGAGATGGCATCCTATGATGCTATCGGAGTTGACACAGGATGCTGGCACACAAGGCAACAACCACCACAGAAACAAATAGGATACAGCCCTTTACAATTGAAAAAAGACTTGCCATCTCCAGTTTTCTCATATTTTAAAAATAGATTTGTGAACATGTATCGTGATCATAAGTCTCATTTTATAAGTAAGGAAACTGAGGTCCAACAAGTTAAACAACTTTTTCAAGGACATACAACCAGAACCAAAAGGTACAGCCAGGATTCATGTCTTGAGACAAAGATACGTTTTGGTTTCATTTCCAGCCCAGCTAGTTGGCTACACTATATCCTCCAATTGGGTATTTGTTACTGTATGTCCTTCCAAAATGCTAGCAGGACTGTGCTATCCTTCCTGCCCTGCCAGGCCTGCAGGTGGGTGAGAGCAGGTGAGTCTGATACAAGTCAGTACTTCCTGCCAGAAGATGCACAAAGAGTTACTAAGATAGTTTGTGAAATCACCTTAGAAACTTTCAAAAGCAAAACAAAACCAGATTGTTTGCTTTTGCTTGATGGTACATGATGCAGGCAGACAAATGAAATAATACCTCAAAATGTGGGCAAAGCCCTCTCATTCATAGAGGTGATGATGTGAACTGGAAGTCAGGCTGGCAGTTTTAATGTTTGAGTTCTAATATTTCCACTTTCTGGGATTTATGTTACTGAAACCCTCCATGAGTGCCCAGAGATCAAATTGCTCAAAGATGTTCTAGGAAGTACATCACCACTAATGGTCAAAGACTGAAAGAAAAAATCCTCAAGGACAACAGCTAATGGATGTCATATCATTCAATGAGTTAACTATAGGGCCACTTAAAATAATTAGATAAATCCATAAATGCTGATATAATCTCAAATAGAATAAACGACATAAAATAGTCTGCACAATATGATCCTGCTTTTGTATGTTTGATTATATGCAGAAAACAGTTTGCCGGCATATGTGGCCAAGTGACAAAGAAGCAGTGTCCGTGGGCTGATAACATAATGCGTGTCTGGGGCTGCTCTAGCACTTTGGTCACAGCACTCAGAGTAACTCAATCTTCCTAGCAGACCTCCAGGCTGAGAATGCCCTCCATTTTGCTCCAATGTCTCCATTTTGTGGTTGAGGATTTAGGGTACAGGGCTCTGGGGTAAGGATTGGAGCTTGGCTCTGAACATGGGCTGTCTGCTCAGAACACATTCTGATGAAGTTCCTTCCCACTCTGCAGTATTTCTCTACTGTCTGAATTCTGGGTAGTAAATGTGTTCTCCTTAAAATCAGGAAGAAAAGACAAATAAATAAATAAACAAACAAACAAATAAATAAATAAATAAAATCAGGAAGAAAAAAACGTTTGGAGGAGGGAGAAGTACTTACATGCTGATCGAAAAGGAATGCTGATTTTGCCCTGGATGCTGCTGATGGCAACGATATGGCCTTTTCGCCTTTTGATCATGGAGGGCAAGAGAGCTAAGGAAAGAAGGCAGAGGTTTTAGAAGGCTTTTCTTTGGGTCCCTACACCTAACGCTGGAAGACAGCCACCTCGCCTACTGTATTCAATTAGACCGAGGGAGGGGAATAATGTAGGACTCTCAGACCATGGTTTGCTGGAACTCTCAGGCCTCCTATGCAGCAGACAGCTAGCAGGCCAGCAGAAGGAAGGAGGAAAAAGGCAGGGTGGGAGGCAGATAGAAGCCCAGTCACCACTAACACTCAGCTTAGTTCCTTTCCTAGGGAGAGCTTTTCTCTGGAGTGAAATCCATGGCTGGACATAAAAATATTCCCATCCCCATCAATACAAAATGTTGTATGGTTTGCAAACATGATGAAAAAGAAATGGAGATAATGCTGTACAAATGAAGTGTTAGTGAGAAGAAAATCTTGATTTGAGGTTATAAGCAGATATAGAAAATGAAATAAAAGGCTGGGAAAAACAAACACCCAAGCTGTAATGACAATACCCAAGCCAGATAAACAGAGAATGGAAAACAGGCAACAATGAGGAAACAGGCAACTGATGAAAAAGAATGCTGACATATCGTGCTCTTTTTTCCCTTTAGTCCAAGATGGTTACCTTTTGTCAAAGCAACTGGGCCAAAGTAGTTTGTCTCCATCACTGTTTTGTCCACATCAATGGTGGTATCCATGATAGTGCCACGGTAGCTGATGCCAGCATTGTTGATAAGCACGTCCACATGGCCAAAGCACTGCAGGATCTCATCTGCTGCTGCAACTATGGCCTTAGTGTCTACGAGGTTGAAGGTCACCATGTAAGGCTTGTGTGTCTGCACCTGGACAGGGTGACAAACCATGTGAACCACATGTCCTGCTTTTCAGAGTCCTGGGAGTGGCCCCCTAGCCACAAAGTGACAAAGCCTGCAGCAACTCTTTTCTGAAGAGATGTGGCCTGCAGGATATTGCCTAACATACCCACACCTGGCCTGGGCAACTTTTCATTGAACAGGGCAGGGATCATGTATGGTATAGATTAATGCAGCTAATTAATCACAGTTCTCTCTGCTTCCAGCGCTATACACTGTCATTACATTAAACAATGCCCCAGTTGAGAGCAGGTAGACTTCTCAGGTTAAGTCACTTTTATTCATTTATTCATGAAACATTTTTTATATATCCCCAAAGAGCCAGGTGACACAGCAGAAAGCAAGACACTAGACTGTCTTGAAGCATACAGTCTGGTGGGAAGACAAATGAATTTTAAAATTAAAAGAATGCCCTAAAGAAGTATAAGATGCTAGACAAATGAACAACTGAGCGATCTAACCTAGAAGGCTTCTCAAAGGAGCATATTTAATAAAAAATAAAAGATGAGGGATGGATGTGAAGTCAGGGAAGATGGCAGAGTAGAAAGTGTAAGGAATCAGTCTCTGCACCTAGGCAACTATACTAGCAGAAACTCTGTGCAGTGACTATTTGGAACTTTGTAGTCTATCTAAATGCTGGTAGCTTGCAGGGGAGTGACTGGTTGGCAAATGATAGATAATTTTGTTCAATTTCAGTTATTAGCTTGGTGGTAGCTATCAAACCGCAGGCACCCCTCCCTCCAAGCACCATGGCAGGCAGTTGTGGGAAAGTCAGCCCCACATTTCTGTTGCAACTGAGCCAAGGTAGGCAACAATGACCTTATCTTCTAAATATTAGAGTTGTGTTTGGAAGATGGATTGCTGCTCTGATTACCAAGGTACAGCATGGGGGCAGGTTAGTATTATTCAATCACCACTATCTAAAGGGGCTTCCAGTAGATTTAAAGGAATTATACCTATTTTTTCTGATACTCAAAAATATAAGTAAATCCCTGAGGAAATCCAGATGATGGACTTACTAGACAGACTATTTTAAAAATGTTCAAAGTATTATGGGAAGACAGACAGAAAATTTATGTATAAAAAAGAATATTAATAAAGAAAACATAAAAAACCCTAGCACTCAAAAGTACAATAACTGAAATAAAAAAAATACACTGAAAGGGTTCAAAAGCAGATTTGAAAGAGTAGAAGAGTGACTCAGTAAACTTAAATCTGAGAATAAAAGGGAGAAAAGTAAAGATAAGTAAACAGAGCTGAGGGACTTGTAGGACATCATTAAGTAGACCAACGAGGGGAAAGCAAAATAATTGAATAAACAATTAATGAAAACTTCCCAAACTTAATGAAATACATGAATCTACACATCAAAAAGCTCAAAACCCAGCAGGATAAACTCAAAACACCCACACTAAGACATAATCAAACTGTCCAAAAGACAAAATCCTGAGTAGCAAAAGCTATTCCTTACATAAAAGAGATCCTCAATAAGATTTTCAACTGATTTCTCATTAACAGTCTTTGGAAGCCAGAAGACAATGAGGGTAAATATATTTATAATGCTGGGGAAAAAAATGTAAGCCAAGTGTTCTGTATCTGCCGCAACTACTTTATGCTTAGTGAAATAAGCCAGACACAGAAAGACAAATACTATATTTTCCCATTTACATTGAGATATCTAGAATAGACAAATCCAGAGACAGAAAGTAAAATAGCCTTTATTCAGGAATTGGGGGAAAAGGGGTAAAATAAATTTTTGTTTAATGGATACAGATTTTTATTGGAAACAAGAGTTTTGGGTATAGATAATGGTGATGGCTAAACTATGCATATATTTAATACCACTGAGTTATACACTTATGAATGGTTAAAATGATCAGTGTTAAGTATATTTTCCCACAATTAAAAAATTAAAAGTTATCATCCCCAGTCCCCTAAGATGCACTGGAATTAGTGAGGTAAAAGAGGGAGGGGAAGGCATTCAGAGAGTGAATTTGCTAAACTTGCAGTGCTAGTGGGTAGCACTAGTAAGTAGTGGAGTGGGGACTTGAACACATGATAATTCTTCCTTTTGAAGCCTCGAGCTGAGTTTACACAGAGACCTGCTACTTCCCTGGCATAAGGCGACCATGTGGATGCGCTCCACAGTCAGTGGCCCAGGAGTGAGCTACCATCTCCTTAGCTGCCTGGAGAAGATGGACTGTACCCCTTCCCCATGGAATACCCCCTGGACTCACCTTGGTGACCTGAGAAGCAGTGAGTTCTTTGGTGAGCTCTTCGAGGGCCTCCTTATCCCGGCCACAGAGCACCAGCTTAGCACCCGCAGCATAGAAGATCTTCGCACACTCTAAGGGAAAAGAAAGAGTCTTGACAGCTGAGGAAATTCAATGTCTTCCTTCCCCACTGTAATTCAGTTCAATCTTATCCAGTGTTTCAGACTATGTATTTGTTTCTTCACACACTCAACACACATACATTAGCTGCTACTGTGGCCGAGCATGGAGCTAGGAGTCAGGACCCCATTGATAGAGCTCTGCTGTTGCTCTTAGCTCAGTCAGAGGAATAAAGACACCCACTAGGCAAGACAAAGGCAGGGAGTGATGGCTAGATTGGTTAGGTCCTATGCTCAGATCATTCCGTAAATGATCTTCAACTCTGAACCACCCTGTGAGTACTGTCCCCATTTTCACCACTGAGGAAGCTCAGTGAGCTTAAATGATGTCCCTAGTGAACAGGCAGTACCAACTATGGTGATGCTGTGGTCTGCTAAGGTTTGTGTTTGAGCAAAACTCAGGTTGTTTACCAAGTCACTTCAATGCACATGTCTATTCAGGGTATTTGCATAGTTCTACAGAAACACAGGGCTATGGGACTCTGGAGAAGACGTGGGGAGGCCCTCCCACAGTCTCAAAGTCTGAGGCCTGTTTCCCCAGAGTATTCAGGGCGAAGGGAGCAAAGTAAAGTACCCAAGGGGCCATGGCCAGATGCTGCCAGGACAGAAAGTGGAAAAATCTAACAGAAATGACACAGTTGGAGTTTAAAGAGGTAAGGCAGGGGTTGCAACTGTATGGGGAATATAAAAATAAAATTTATTTAAAAATAAATAAATAAAGAGGTAAGGCACGCTGAGTGTTTCCTATAACAGCAAAGGATCAAGGTAGCTGCATTTTAAAAGCTCCCCTCCAGCTGGGTAGGAAGAGGAAAGGAGGAGACCAGACTCTGCTAAGCCACTACATCTCAGGTGACACCAAATGGGCACTTCATTAAGACCGGGGGGGGGGGGGGGGGGTGCGCAAGGGGAGAGGAGAAAAGCTCCTTGGGAATCTGTATCACCCAAAATTCTTCTGGTGGCAGAAAAGAGACTCGACTTACACTGGGACAAAATACAAAGAGGATTTATCAGAAGTCTTCTGGGAAAGCTCAAGAATGAAGAGAAAGGTCAAATGGCTAACACTTGGGAAGGACAGGAATGGCAGTGCCCAGAGTCCTGGCAGCAGGAACCGGATCTCTGTGTTGACAGGTCCTTTCTCAGCTTTGTTATCTCGGCCTGGCTTCTCCATAAGATGGGAACAGGCTGTGGGTGGCTTTGGGCTCACATCAACATAATTCACCTGCTAGACAAGAAAGGAGCCTCTAATTTGTCTCACACTCTGGTGGCAAAATCCCAGAGAGGGACCGTGATCAGTCTGGTGGGAGCAGCATCAATAGGATTAGCCCAGGGTCAGACATGAGATAAGGGGGGGCCAAGGAGGGGAGCAGAACCTGGGGCTAACCTGGCAGGGTGAGGGGGGAGGTAGCGGGTCAGGTACTCCTGTTTCATGCTCACCAATATATGACCTAACTAAATGACCAGTGCCTTGAGAACGTATAGCTTATGAAGAGCAGTAAGCCCAGTAGTCAAGAGAATGGACTTGAGCTAGCTTCCTGTGTTCAACTCTGACTTCCGACACTGGTTCTGTTATTCTTGGGTAAGTTATAATCTCTTTGTTTCTTACTTTCCTGTTCTGTAAGATAAAAGTAGCACTGTATTGAATGAGTTAAAGTAGATAAAAAGCACTATGAAAGTATGAATTGTTTTGTATTTCCATATCGCCACTGTAACTTAGAAAACTGACTGAAAACGGACTATTGGTGAAAATTGATATACGAGTGTTTAGAGGCCCTGCCTGCCTCACTAAGGTCTATATAAACCCCGCAACCTCTAGAAGACTACTTAGTCAGTGAGCTGCCCATTGGGTTCCAGACTGAAGCTCTGAGGTCCAGACAGTCAAGTGGTACCTAAGCAAACTTGGCTCATACAAGGGACAGGACTGCCCCAGAGAGCTGCAGCAAGGGGCCGAGGGGTAAAGGCTGTCAATGTCACTCCCTTCCCTGGAAGGGGATTGGGTAAGGTATATTGCTCTGACAAGCCTTCCCCACAAAGTGTCCAAATTTCTTAGAGCCAAAAGGGTTCAAAAATAAGAGGGGAGAAGAAATTCCAGCGACCTTCAGGAAACAAGAAAGCTCTTAAACTCTTCATTCCACAGCTTCTCCTTTAGCTTCTCTTATAGCTTTTACTTGCCTCCCTGCACGTCTCCAGATGCAGTTTTCTGAACATAAGTGCTAAGTAGACTAAATCAATACATTTTCAGGCATGCTATATCATCTTTGAAAATCTGGTTGGTTTGTTCACTGGCTTACCTGACAAAAAGCACAGTCAGTAGCAGGTCCTCTGTGCCTGGGCAGTCCAGTAAGGGCCACAACCCGTGACCCTTTCTGCTGTGCCTTCTCAGCAAAGCAGCAAAGCCCTCCCAGGGCTGCTCTCAAAGCCAGATGCCTGCATTCCTGAGGCTAGAACTGCTCACCCAGTGTACTAACCATTCCCCAAGAATGGGGCTATTGGCTTCCTCACTCTATTTTGTCTTCCCCTGACCAATAATACAATGGACATTTTGTGAGATGCCACCAAAAGGTGCCAACATACAGAACCAAAGGTGGGAGAAGGCATACTGGTGTATAAACACCTTCTAGAAAATGCTGCCTATATTCTACTAAAGCTTTGCTTCCTGGCAAAGCCAAAAAGGGAGGACATTAGTTTGTGTGGGGAGTGACAGAAATGAAAACAATAGATTGAAAGGTTTCCACTTTCATTTCTTGAAAAGGCTGATATAGGGAGCCTGGAGGGTCAAAGGAAAACAGTCCCAAGGTGCCATCTATCTAGGGCTACCAGATGATTTTCCAGAACTTCTGGTTTGTAAATCAAGATAGCTATTCATGACCTCAGGCTTAGGCTGGCTAATGTGGACATCCAGAACATTCTGTTCTGTCAGTCAGTAGTCCCACTGTTATACAAGAACAAACTCATGTGGTTTAAATATACAAAACAGGAGAAATATAGAAGGCTGTGAAGACTCACGACATAAACCAAATCTTCAGGATAGCTGACATGGCAGGCAGAGCCACTGGGGCAACTTGGAATTTCCCTCCTCTTAGAAGCTAAAGAACAGTAACCCATCCTTGGTACTCACCAACCAGGGGTGTCTGTACTTGAAATGGTCTACTTTATTGCTGGATGGGAAAGAGAGATACAACTCTTGTCTCTAAGGTGTTAAACGGAGCAGAATGATTTGGAATTCAGGAAGTGGCCTATACTCACGTGCACACGTGTACACACACACACACACACACATATGTGTGTGTGTATATATATATATATATATATATATGTGTATATATGTTTTATTTTTGTTTCAATCACATTTTCTATTCCCCTCACAGTCCTAGTGTCTGGAAGAGGTAACGTGGAATGATGGAGAGGACAGTGTCCTTTTCAAACATCCACATATTGGAGTACCTGTAACTCACCTTTGTGTCTCAGTCAATTCTCAAATATATTTCAAGGTCTTTTTAAAAAAAAAAAAAAAAAAAAAAAAAAGCTCTCCCTGAGGTCAAAAGAAGTGGCTGCTGACTCCCCTATATATAGTAGTTGACTAAGGTCAGAGGACTGACAGTGGCAAAGGGCCTGGAGGCAGCTGACCCCATGTAGGTCTGGATATCTAATGACAGACCCAGGGTTAGCTCCCAAAACCTCACCTAAACATTGCAGTGGTGTACAAACAAGTCCATGCTACCTAAAGCCTTACCAGGCTTCACTGGCCAACCATAGGCCACATACCCTGCAGACAAGCCCCATTGGTTCTCTGTGCTTCTGTTAATACTCAAGTGCTTACCAGTCTCTGCACAACCATGCTTCTCCTAACTTTGGCCTATGTGCACTGGCCTCTCTGCTGACTCACATCTGCCTTTTCCAGGCCATCTCCTCAAGAAAGATAAGACTGAGTTCTAGAGTCTGAGGTGTATGTTTTATCTTGGCTTCACGCTTTGTGACTAAAAGTCCAAGAGCAAGTCAAACTTCTGAACGTGAGCGATGAGGATTCAGTGAGATGAAGCACAACCCTACACTTAGGAACATGCCTTACCTACTAGTGGAATACCCAGTACTAAAATGGCAGTCTATTGAGCTAAGTCCTGCTTCTCTCCCCTATTCGACCATGTACTACATGAGGGAAAGGACTGTCTTTCATTTGTCTGTCCCAGCTGTGTTGGCTGTATTGTCACCATCTGAAGACAAAGCAGTGGGCTTACCACAATGCAGGGTGCCTGTTGGCCTCCTCTCCTGACTACGAGCAAGTATGGATGATGTATGGTGTGGTATGGAGCATGTGTGCATGCTGAGAAAGATGGAAGAAAGCTCTACATGTTTGCATTTGCTCTCCACACACTCTGCCAAAGTCATTTTACCTCTGTGGAAGGGATGGTGGAGGCACCAAAGCTCATTTGGGCGGCTTTGACTGACTCTAGGCCTAGGCTAACAAGTAATTCCTGGGAACTGGAAGTTCAATGTGTCACCAAATTAAAAGGGAACTAAACTGGAAAACCTGGTTAAGGAATAGCTGAGGCAATACCTGTTCTTTGTTCAACCTTGCCAAGACCAAAAACTGGGGATGCTGCCTAGATCCAGGAAAAGGCATGTTTTGTGTGGAGAAATAAGGACAGAGATTAAAAACACTTTTTAAACTAGCTGTCATTACTTGAAAATGTGGAGCCTTCATATACAAACCCCTATTTCAACAACTAGTGGGAGATGAGGCAGGCAGGGTAGAACAGGCGGTCTCCAGTTTGCCATTGTCTTTCTCACTAGCTTCTGTCTCCCAGTACTGAGGCTATCAGGGGACACTAAGAAGATTATTCTTGAGCTCTTAGTCTTTCCCAGTGGACCAGGGACAGCGACAGACTCTTATCCCTGAGTCATGCAGCCACTTTCCTTATTGCACCTGCGCTGGGGGTCCCTGTGCATCTGAGCTGCTCCTCATGCTCAGGCCAACTAACTACCCTCCCCCTGCCAGCACTACTCCCAGCACCCACCTAGCCCCAGTCCCGAGGTGGAGCCTGTAATGACCACCACTACATTCTGGAAATAAGTCTTAATGCGCATGTGCTGCAGCAGCTTGAAGAGGCTGAAGATTCCCACACAGCCAAACAGCAGGGGCAGGATGGCCGTTGATGTGGCAAAGTCCATGACCCTCATCTTCAGCAGACCCTTCCTATAAGAATCAAAACCAAATAAATTAGTGACAAAATGGAAGAACTCAAAGAGTCTTGTCTTGCCAACCCTTCCCCCAAGTCTGATACGAATCCAGCTCTCTCTTGCATAGACTTCAAGTCTAGACACAAGTATCTTTCCAGGCCCCATGTTCTCAGCTGACTGCTCAGCATTGGGAACTTGTTTTCTCTCACTGGATACCGAGCCTGAGCAGATAACAGAGCCACCAAGCAAACAATGCCTCTCAGAGACGCACAGAGCCCAGAACAATTGAGAAAGTCATTAGGACCTAGCTACCCAGAGAGAGTTACAAATTCTCCTTCAGAAACTTGTTTTGGAGAACTTAAGTAATACTAACATTTTCAGTCTCTGAAAATTTTACAAATTGAAATGAAACTAGAAACATTTTTTAAAAAGAAAATCATACCAATCCATATACTCCTCCCTGAGCAAACAGGTATTTCTGGGTGATGGTCTTAGTGAGGGCCCACAAGTATAGCCTTGGCCTCAGACCTCACAGATGCCCAAAGGGGATTCCACAGGACAGAGTTGCCCTTTGCCAAGCATGGGCTCAGACCCAAACTGCTGAGTGAGTGACTGCCCTGCGTGCACTGTGGCCAGTTCTCCTTAGCAGGCATTGGAGAGCCACGTTCAGTCAGAAGCCACGTCAATATTTGTGCAACAGCCAGTCATCAATTCTTAGGAAATATATGTTTCTTCTACAACTTCCTCTAATTTCTTTATTTCTCCAAGTCGCCCCCATGCCGTGTCACTCACCCATGACCTCTGCCCAAAGCAAGAGTTAAGAGGAAAGACATAGGGTTAAAGGAAAGTCAAGGGCCATCTAGTGAGGAGTAACACCATGCCTGTCACTTTGGAAGATTTGTTGTATAAAATCATGTGACAAGTGGGCCAGAGCCTATCACACAAATGTCCACCCACAGTCCACCTCTAGGACTGACTGATACTGTGAGCACAGTAATCCTCTTCAGGAAGGAAGAGGCTGAAAACCAAACGCAGAGTTCCTGTGAACCAACTTGGAGCTTCCACATACTCATCAGATGGGAAATAACTATGTAAAATCCTCACCCACCATTGGTATGTCCCATCTCAACTCCACGTGTTAAAAAATATCTCTTCCTTTTTCCAAGACAGTATCAACTCTGTGCATGCCACAGAGCTAGGAACCTACTGACTCTAACACAGAACTACCTACGCACTGAGCTGCTTTGCTCCTCAGGTTGAGGTTCAGGTCTGCTTTCTATGGGAAGAGCACACATCTTCATTCAGTCTGGCGAATTCTTACAGAATTAGAATATAAATTAAATCCAGGCCTCCCCAGTGGCGCAGCGGTTGAGCGCTGGGTTGCGAAGCTGCCCACAGCCTCTGCAGTGCCAGTTTCGATCCCCGGCTGCTCCCCAGCCACTGGAGGAGGGTCCCACATGGCGCGCAGACCTCTCCTGCCGCCCGCTGCTCCCCTCAGCAGTGTACTTCGTCAGTCTGCCTGCTCTGCTCCCGGCTCTGGTGAATTATCTCACCCTCCCGCGCTTCTGACTGTACCCAGTGCTTGTATAAATAAATAAATAAATCTTTAAAAAAAAAAAAAAAGAGTATAAAGTAAATCCAAAATCAGTGCCAACTTTCACAACTAAATCAGAATGATAATGATGATAGAAAAAGACACTTCAAAGCAAGCTATTCATTTGGGAGAAGCAGGTACCTTTTCAGGATAATTTTCCTGATCAGGTGAAGTTTGTCATACTGTCAACCCTGACCCTATCTGGGAGTTTTTCCAATTCTTTTTTTTTTTTTAAAGATTTATTTATTCATTTACACAAGATCCGGGGTACAGGTCAGATGTGCGGGAGGGTGAGAGAATTCACCAGAGACAGAGCAGGGAACAGAACAGGCAGACTGACGAAATACACTGCTGCGGGGAGCAGCAGGCAAGATAGGAGAGGTCTGCTGCGCCATGTGGGACCCTCGCCAGCCGGATGGGAACAAACCAGCGCTGCAGAGGCTGTGGGCAGTTTCACAGCATGGCGCTCAACTGCCTGCGCCACCAGGGGAGGCCCTAGTTTTTCCAATTCTTAAAGCCCTTCCAACTTTTGTTCCACTCTGCATCGGCCACACCATGGGTCCCTGAGCCTCCCCAGGCTCTTAGAGATACTGTACCAACTTCTTCTTGTCTCACACTTAAAAGTCAGGATGGCATAAACAACTACACAGAGATGACTCAGCCCCATTACTGTGGGGTCTGGGAACTGTCTCTGAGCAAAAGGAACAGCACATAAGTGGAGGAAAGGAGTTGTGTCCCGACTGCCGCATATCATGCTTAAAAAATAACTTTATGTAAAAAAAGTTCAAAGAGGGTCTGTTTCCTTTGAAAACAGCAAGTACTGTAATATGTTTATAGAAGTTGCATATTACACCAAAATGCTTCATAACTACTAATTTCAGATATAACTAGGGAGACAAGATTGAGGGCATAAAAAAAGGAGAGGGGGGAACCTTGTTTACGATATGCAGCATTTGGAGATCAGCTTGTGTGCAGAAAGAAGAGACGGTCCCAGCATCACTGAGTCATAGCAGAAAGCAGGAAAGGGGTATGGAGAGGTTAGAAATAGAAACCACAGTTCCCACGGCGTCTGGAAGTACCCAGTATACTGCCTAAACAGCAATGTGTGCGCTCACACTGGTCATCCACCCTCTTCACTGACAGGGAAAAGACTTGAAACGCAGCCTTACACTAAACAGCCTCATTAGCAATGTGCGGAAGTTACAGTTCAGGTGTTAACACGCTGGGCCATTCTACTTGTATTTTCATGTACCACAGCCCACTGAGCTCTAGACCTGAGTTAAGAGTGTCTAGGTATAAAGTCCCATTACCGGTGAGCGTTACCTGGGCTTAGGCAATCATAAAGTTCATGTTTTCTCGCTGCAGCTCTGGAATTCAGCTGCCCCATTACTTTTCATTGAGAGGTTCTTTAAAGGGGTTTTTGAAAACTCAAACTAGAAACAAGACTATCACCAAGAAATCAATTCTGAGCAGATATGTCACTCTTTATACCCCCCATTCCATCTCCTCCTTTAGTCAAAATCACATGGTACATTTCACAGATGGAATCTGACCTCAGATTCCTTTCACCTTTGAAGCAATTTAAAAAAAAAAATAAATTGAGCCATCTATAAAAACAAGTGTTGAAATCTACTCAGAACCACACATAGACATTAAACCAATGACAGCCACATCTGAAAATCAAAGGAGGGGATCTGAAAATCCTCCCAAAGTTAAAAAAATAACAATGATTTCAGGTCTGTATGGATTAGTCATGAAATAATTTACCATGTTATGCACAGGAAAATCAGGCTAGAGGGCAGAGAGGGATTCCAACTGGAAGGAAGGACACTGAAATCATGCGGCAAGGGGTGGCTTGCTATCACCAAAAGCGGTGATCCGTTCCCACAACCAATACCCACTCATTTTTCATAAGTGATAACCAGCTCTCAACAGCTGGTCTAGTAAAAGCGACATAAGTTACAGGCCATGCTTATGACCATATCTGAAAACGCATCTTTTTTTTTTTTTTTTCCAGAAAGGAAAGCAGAGTAAAACTGCTCTATTTGTTGGTCTCAAGCATATGAAAGGCTTCTTCAACTGGAAAGAAAGAATATCCTAACTTAAATGGTAGTTACCTTGCCAGTGGCAGGCCCTGGCACTAGTGTCTTCTCTGGTCTTTTGTCCTGTGGCAGAGTAACTTAGACTAGACCTTCAGGTTCGTAGGCCTTCCCTGCAATGCTGGAACAAGCCAGACATATGACCTGTAGCATGTGTATTGGGATGCCAGCCTTAGAGCCCCCAGATTAAAGGCATGCAGGCTGGCATTAAAACCAAACACAAAGTCACAAGGAAGACCTGAAAATGTTTCAGAGCAGACTAAGTGTCCAGTCCTGGGAAGAACATGAAAAAGTAAGTGTTACTCTCCAGTAAGACACTGATCACCAACTCCACAGCAGCCCATCCAGGGCAGGCAGGAAGAGGTGCCAAGAATGTTCCAGAGCCTGCACTGTGACTACAACTGACTCCTGAATATTTCAATTATTTGTTGGAGGTACAACAGTTATGAAGGGCCAAAGTCTTCAGTTTTTAAAAACAGCATTTATGATGGCTTCCTAGACATCTAGATACAAAAAGAGCAATTTTGGTTTTTAATGTTCTTTATAAAATGAATTTAATACTGGGGCCTCCCTAGTGGTGCAAGGGGTTAAGACTCAACCTATGAAGCTAGTTGCAGCCACTGCAGCATAAGTTTGATCCCCAGCCAGGGAGCTACCCACATGGTGCAGCAGGCTTCTCCTGTCTCGCCCACTGCTCCCCTCAGCAGTGTATTTCAGTACATCTGCCTGTTCTGCTCCCCACTCAGTCTCTGCAATGCTGGAACAAGCCAGACATATGACCTGTAGCATGTGTATTGGGATGCCAGCCTTAGAGCCCCCAGATTAAAGGCATGCAGGCTGGCATTAAAACCAAACACAAAGTCACAAGGAAGACCTGAAAGGGGAAGACCTCTTACCCCCTGCATCTCTGGCCTGCACCTCAGCTCTAGTATGCATAAATAAATATTTTTAAAAGATTTATTTATTTATGAATATAAGAACTGGGATACAGGCCAGAGGTGTGGCTGATGAGAGGATTCACCAGAGACAGAGTGGGGAACATAACAGGCAGATTGACTGAAATACACAGCTGAGGGGAGCAGTAGACCAGTCAGAAGAGGTCTGCTGAGTCATGTGGGTAGCTCCCTGGCCAGGGATAGAACTCATACTGCACTGGCTGCGACTAGCTTAATAGGTTGCGTCTTAACCCCCTGCACCACCAGGGAGGCCCAATAAATAAATCTTTATAAAAAAAAAAAATTCCTTCTTCTTAAAAAAAATTAACAACCACCTCTATCTCTCTATACCTTTCCAATCTTTAAAAAATAAATAAATAAAATAAAA